TCATCCCCTCCCCTCACCACTTCCCCTCACTGCCGCACAACCAAACACGCTCACATAACACTATACTGTTTTATTACTACTACAAATTATAACTAACCTAGCCAAACCTAACCTAACCAAACCTAACTTGACCTACGAAACCTTGCGTATATAAAGTTTGTTTTTGTTTAATTTAGCTATAGTAGTTAGTAATAATATCTATGGCAGTATAACTTAGTATAATAGCGCAGGTACTCGGTATAACTACGCCTGTAAAGTTTAGTATAATCACTACGGCAGCATAATTTAGTGTTATAGCACATTTAGTATAAGTAACTACGGCAGTCATTCATTATTATTGAATATTTATAAGGAATCAATTATATAACAAATTCGTTTATAAGGTAAATAATTAATTATATATCTACAAGTCGGTTTTAAAGGACCATAATTATTAAGTGTTCAAAGTGTGTGTGTGTGTGTGTCAAGAAATCAGTGTTATGCCAACTTTGAATCCTTGCAATGACACACACACACTTTGAACGCTCTAATCAACAACAACAAAAAACACATTATTTTCAGTGTCATTAATTACCGTTACTGTACATATCCTGTTTTCCTTCACTAGAGGGCGTGTGAATGATGGCAGATGGCTGTCGTGCCGTCAACCAGCTGGCGGAAGTAAGCTATATCACCACTACATTACCACCTGTGGTCATATATACACACAAACACACATACACACACAGATGGTTCAATGCACTAACTTACTTACATACTTGGGTTAAATTTCTATATTCTCTACACTAATACACTGTAATGTAAGAAAAGATATATTTTTTTTCGTTTAACTTGGCAGTAAAATGCCTTTGAATTAGTTAATGTCGCGGCGGTAAGGAGGTGGTTGTGTGGGCCGGAGGAGTGATGTAGCGTAGAGCGTCAGGCAAGAGCGCGCGCCACCCACTACCACCAACCAACTCCCCTCCCTCACTTTACCTCACTACACCTCACCCACCCCCGCGCCAACTTCCCTCACGCCTCGCCGCAGAATTATTCTATTTTGGGGCAAATAACAAGTTAGAGGGGATGTCAGGTAATCTTATAATACTAAAAAATCGTCAGGATAAATTTTAAGATGGGTCGAGATGATGTGGAAAATTAGGCGAGAGTTACGAGGACAGGCCAGATCATTAGGCGACGCCGTCACCATGGTAACCAGGTAACAATGCGCTCATGTAAACTGGAAAAGGTTAATGCTGACAACACAGGCAAACTTTTATAAACACTGTATGGATACAGACACACACACACAACTAACTGGAAATATAACAATCAATATATTCCTTGGAGGATATTTAGGGGAGTCTGTGTACACAACACACCTGTGGTTCTTATAAAAACACGTGTACAGGTGTATTGAGTAATGTACTCTTTGTGGGTTGTGACTCAGACTACATGTGAGTTTGTATGTGTGTGTGTGTGTGTGTAAGAGAAGACGTTTATAACGTGTCAATAAACTCATAAGCTATCGTCATGCAAAATGCGAACCTTGACCTGACCCTTACACACACACACACACACACCTCAAAATACACTAGTCAATATATAACTTCAGCAACACAACAGTTCCCCCAGCACTTACCACTAATGAAATAATCCCCACCAAACTGATCAACCATGAAATGCAGAAAATCCCCCCCTAGAAAATAAATCTCCCGTACTTTTTTAATAACTGCGCATGTGTGGCATCAAGATAATCAATGGCTCCTAATAACAGGGAAGGTTCATAAGACGAGTGGTTAATTACTATTATTATCTGTGCTGCAAAACATAAATTCGGGGTTAATTTGAGCGCCTGTGTGGTCCTGACAATCGTGTTGAAGTCCACAGACACCATTAATTACACTAGCATTTGTTTTGTGTTTATAAATATTTATACGAATATTTATATGCAGACATCGTGACTTTAAAATTGTCTTCTTTGTTAAATATGTATACGATTATTTCTTATGATGAATATAACATGATCATTACTTTCACGGTTAAATATTCTTATATTTTTATGAAGGATTTGGTGGTAGTTAGGATAATCTGGTGAGGGTCTGACGTCATCGAATGCTGAGTGAGGATGAACCGGAAGTAATTTTTTATGAAAGAATTACCAAACTTCCGTCACGAGATCTTCCATACCATGACTTACACCACCATAATTACCACCACCATAATTACCACCACCATAACTACCACCACCATAACTACCACCACCATAATTACCACCACCATAACTACCACCACCATAATTACCACCACCATAACTACCACCACCATAACTACCACCACCATAACTACCACCACCATAACTACCACCACCATAATTACCACCACCATAACTACCACCACCATAATTACCCACCACCATTACCACCGCCATAAATACCACCACCATAAACCACCACCACCCCATACTACCACCACCATAATTACCACCACCATAACTACCACCACTACCACCACCATAATTACCACCACCATAACCCACCACAATAACCTCCACCACATAACCTCCACCACCATACCACCACCATAACTACCACCACCACCAATTACCACCACCATCTACCACCACCATAACATACCACCACCATAACTACCCCCACCATACCACCACCATAACTACCACCACCATAACTACCACCACCATAACTACCCCCACCATACCACCACCACCAGCATCCTACCTGCCCCATGCGCCAGTGTAAGGTAATTAAAATCCCGAGCCATTACTCCTAAAAGACTTCATATAATTCTTAAGATAATCTGTAACGTAACTTTCCTCTTTCTATTTTTTTTCGATTCACCTAAAAATAATAGTTCCTCCCCCTCAGCTTATTTCACCTTATGATTAAACATCCTAGCATTACCTGTGGGGGAATTAAGCTGAGTTAAGCCGAGTTAGATACGGATTAGTTAGGTTAAAACTTCATTAGTTAACACCTAACGTAACGTAACCTAATCTAACCTAACTTAACATCAAGTAAAAGTGAGATAGATAGATAGATAGATAGAGATAGATAGATAGATAGATAGAGTGATAGATAGATATTGGGGCGGAAACAACAACCTGACACACACAGGTAAATGTTATAGTAATTAGCTGTGACTTACCTGAATACGCTGTGACGTTTAGCAGAAGCTGACAGCAAAGACGTCAACTCCACCCAGTAGTCCTGACATGACATCCTGGACCTTGGCTGATGTCAAGTCCTTCCTGTCAGCTGCTCATGTCACTGCCAGATGCTTTTGTGGGCTGTTATTTATCCTGTCAACTTTCAACTCGTCACTGTCACTTCTCACTGTCACTTTCACCTGCCAATGCCCGCTCTTCCTGTCACCTTCACTTGTTACTGTCACCTTCACTTGTCACTGTCACCTTCACTTGTCACTGTCACCTTCACTTGTCACTGTCACCTTCACTTGTCACTGTCACCTTCAAATAACGCTGTTAATTCCTCCTGTTACTGTTAATTCAATTCTTCCCGCCACCGTAAACGCCGCCATACACACCACGAGTTCAAACACCGACTCCTCTGAACCCGAATACTCGAGTCGACAAGTATGAACCCAATACCAAACCCCACGAGTTCAAACACCGACTCCTCTGAACCCGAATACTCGAGTCGACAAGTATGAACCCAATACCAAACCCCACGAGTTCAAACACCGACTCCTCTGAACCCGAATACTCGAGTCGACAAGTATGAACCCAATACCAAACCCCTGAACCCCTGTTGAAACGAGGCCATATTTCTCAGTAATTAAACATAATTTACCTAATAATTTACGATAATTATATTAAATATGAGTATATTTATCCACATGTAAGAAAGTTTAAGTAATTCAGCTGGACGTGGCAGATATGACAATTGTAATTTTTGAAGGAATTAATGCACTTTTGTTTGTGATGGATGTAATGCCATTTCCAATTCGCCAATATATTACAGTATATAAGATAGATCCAAGCTGAGGTAAATGTGGTTGGGCGGGCTAATCCTAATGTGTTGTTAATTTTTACCATATTTAATTGTAATAATATTTGGAGATAATTATATTCTCTGATATTCTTGATGTATATGTCTGCAAGACTGACAACCTTCCTACACTGTATCAGATAATATTGGCAGGTAAATAGCCACGTTTATCTGACCTACTATAGAGGGTTTACAGTCTGACAAGAAATTAAAAAACTTTCTTGGTATAGGAAAACATGGATAAGCATCTGAAGGCTTTGTTGGCTATCCTTCATTGAGTCGTGGTCACACAGTTATTACCAAGCACCATCAACATTTCCTGGCCAGTTTCCATGCTTGTATAGGTTAGCTTCATACACTAGATGACAGCTGTTGGGAAAACAAAAATTTTATGTCTCCCCTTCCTCCCCTACACATACCCTGATGCTGGGCCCTGCCTAAGCACACCTGACCAGAAAGTTCAGCAGATACCAGGGGATGGGCAGATCTCTGGTGAGCTAGTTACTATCAGGCATGTCGAAGAAAAGTTTTATGATTTGATGCCCTTCCTATCAAGGTGAGAACAGATGGCAAAGCAAGGATGCAACTCCTTGAGGTAATCATAGACTACCTGCCTACCCTAAGAAAAATTATAAAACCAAAATCTATAAAATAATTTATAATCAGCAATATTTGTGAACACATTGTCTCATATTATGGCTGATACAGCCTTCAAAGAAGAGAAACATCAGCTTATGCCTCAACCACTGTAGATAAAGACTCATACACTGAGTACAAAATACACAGAAAACCCTCAGTGTTCCTCTCATATGAACATTATACTGTACAGTAACATCCTAGAACTTTCCTGCAGTTGGGAAAACATGTGGTTGGCAAAGGCTGGGAGGGTCTATTGTGAAATAAGAGGTTAGGGGCAGTGACCCCTGACTAACATACCACCACCTAAAGTCCTAACAGCTCAAGGTTAAAATACAGTAAGTACAGAAGACAGTGTATGATATACTTACAAGACAGTTTATTATTCTCTATATAAATACTGAACAGTACATAGTGCATACTATACAGTATTAAAAAACATGACACTATCCCTTACATCACAAATAATAAGTGTATGAACAAATAATATGTGTACTGTACAAGTGTGTATGAACAATATATTTATTGGGCCAACCAAAGTAAGTTTATATCTGCTTCATCCATCTGGCAGCCACACTTCTCAACTCTCCCCAGCAGTACACTCATGGATGTAGTGCGTGTCTTTGTGATTATTTCTCCAGGTTTTTTCAATGTCATTCTGTTTTATATGACTCTTCTATTATTTGATATAGAAAATTGTAAAAGGGTTCTCAGAATTTAGAATATATTGTTCATCACAATTAAAAAAAAATTAACTTAGAAAAAAATTTAACACATCTTGGATGAATTAAAATCCTTCAATTTAGTGAAGAAAAACCCCTGGTGTTTCTATATTACTGAGAACATATTATTGCAATAAAAGTATAAACAGTTTAGAGTGATAGTGACTCAATGTGTGGCGAGGCTGCACCATGACCATGATGGTGTGGCTGCCCGGCCCTCAGTGTTAAGTAATGACTGTTGGCGGGACAGTAGACAGCCATACAGTACTGTACAGCTTGTAATATGGGGAATGAAAATAAGCAAATTTATTTAAAAAGTTTAGAGATGGAAGATCAGCTGTGTGTGGTAGATGATAACAACTGTTGTTTGAGGAACTTACATATGATGAAGCAAACAGTTAAGCATTCCCATCGTGCTAGCCTAAAACTTTTCTGTGCTGGCCGTGGCAACCTGCAAATACTTAACCCTTTCAGAACTTTTTGATGACGATAGTATAACCCTCTGATGATGATGACAGCTTAACTCTTTAAGGACAATAGTATAACCCTCTGATGATGATGACAGCTTAACTCTTTAAGGACAATAGTATAACCCTTTGATGATGATGACAGCTTAACTTTTAGGGCGATAGCTTAACCCTTTGAGGATGATGACAGCTTAACTCTTTTAGGACAATAGTTTAACCCTTTGAGGATGATTATCTAACCCTCCAGGCCTCAAAGGGTTAAGATTAAATAACATGGTTGGTAAAACAGTGACAGTGTACAAATTCACACCTTGTTGGTTACCATTCTTATTACAGTACTGTACATATGTAATCCAGCCTCAACCAAGGTTTATTTAAAAGAAAGTATCACAGTTCCACCTATTAAAATATTACATAACAAATTCTGTAACATTATACAGTAATATATATGAAGTGTACAGTAGCTAAAATAACTATCAGTGCAGGTGGGGGTCGATATGGTCCAAAATTTTACGTGTGACTAGTGACAGCCCTCATATACCAAAATTTATCGTCCATGGTCTCATATTGTTTCCCACAAAGTATACACAGATAGTTGTTTTAGCTACTGTATATTTTTAAGATATTTTTTTTAGGCAATGTTATAACCAACCTTCCATTTTATTTGTTTTATCTTTGATCTAAAGCCAAAATATCAGCTGAAAACATTTTAAAGCAAGCAAATTAAATGCTGTGTTTGCACCAATGTCACCACCCTCTCCCTCCCCTCTAAATAAAAGTGGCAACCATTTTATTTAATTTTTGGATTAAGGAAACTGTCCAAAAACACAATGAGTGATTCCCTCTGGTTGACACTTGAGGTAAAATAGATCTCTGGAGGCTCACTATAAACAGGACTGGAATATGTTTTTAATCTAATCTAAGCCTAGCCTAACCTAAACCTGAAATAACATCACATAATCTAACCTAAACTAAACCTGACATAAGCTAACCCAATCTAACTGTAACTAAAACCTAATCTAAACTAACCATCACAAGAGCCTTAACCTTAGGCCACCTTGACAAGACTTCTATACAGTATTCCTATCTACTGACTCCACTGTACTGGGTCACATTACTGCAAATACAAGCATTCACTTATCACTTATCATGGCTGTGTGATGCTGAAGAAACGTGCATAAATATTTTTTCCCTTCTGATGATTATTTATCATAAGATATTTACTGGTTAGTTAAATGAAATAGTACAGGTAATGAAAATAATAAATAAATACAGTACAGTATATACATTAAAATATTATTATTATTAAATATGAAACCTAGAGAAGCCCCCTTTATCATACAAGCTCGTTACAGTCTCCCTCACTTGTTCTTGTCAACTATTACCAAACTCTCTTAGTATTTTCCTCTGGCTAAAAATTCATAATAAACATAAGTTCAAATATAATCAACTCTTTCTCAAGGCAATATAAGATCCAACGATTTTCTGTCGATTGATGTTCACATTGTTGATATGTTTTAAATTCAACAATAGGTCCCAATAAATATGAAAAAAGAGATAAATTTCCGAGCTGATACGTACAATATACTGTACAATAGGTATATACAAAATGGTTTATCAACATTTTGGAATGTAACGGAACAGACGTGAGGTTATCTTTTTGGCTGTTTTTAGGATATGAGTCTTCGGGACTTTAACATCCTTTCGAGGCGGGCGATCTTGCTCATCTCGTGTTCTGGGCTCGGAGCAGATGTGGGGTTCATGCCGGCTGTGGGTGAGGTCTGGCTAATGGGGTGCTGGGCGGCGGGAGCAGGTGGCTGACTGCCGCCACCCGTGACTCCTGCATTACGATGAGGAGAGTTTGTCGAGGAACCGGTGGTGCGCTGGCGGTACATCTCCAGCACTGAGGCTCGATCCTTTACCCCTCTCATCTCCAACACCTGTAAAGTGACAACACACACATACCATATTAATCTGCTGATATTTCACATTAACTTAATTGAGAAAAACAATTTTGAATACACTATCTCCTCTATCTATTTTCTTTTCTACATTCTTCTTTTTGTGTTGGGTCAGATGTAAGGACTCAGGAGCCTCAGGAAAGAGAAATTAAAGACACATGAAGAAAGTAAATAGAAAGTACAAGTATTAGAACAAGTAGCAACACACACACACAACTTGCTCACTGTCTATAAGCAGTAAATACAAATGTCTCCTAGGACAATAAGTGCTGATAAGTGTGTTATCAAATTCAGGTAATACAGTCCTCACCTTCTGGAAATCTGCAATGGTGGCATCAGGCAGAAGACGGTTAAACTTATCAATGAGGTCACTGTGTGTTGCGTACTCCCCCATCACGACCTATAAAACAATTTCAAGTAATAACTTTAAACCTGAATACCTCAATTGTCTATACATAATCTACAAAAGCATTGATAGCAGTTATACATATACAACACAGTAAAAATTCCCTAAGCAGTAAATTCTCGACACATTGCTATGTTTCATCAGTAACAGATTCTCTACCCACCTGCAGTACCAGTTCAGCCCTTGCCATGCCTCGGACCACCATTCTGGTGTATGTTTGAGGAGGATCACGTCGTACCTGCCATAAAGCCATAATGAATTTCTTGGTCATCAATTAGCACATCAAACAGTATACTGTACTCACTTTGCCCCTTTAGCCTAATGTAGAATCTAAAAATTTCAACTCCTCTGCATTGGATATTTATAGACTTAGAGCCTGTTAACAGACCCCACTGGGGGGTAAGAACTATAGAGACAGATAAGTGCCAAATCAGGATATCTCTTACATGTGAAAGAGGTTCATAAAAATTGGTATATTTTTCTACAACTAAGGAGAAATCAAGGACATTAAAGTCAGAGATTCATTTTTGTTAATGAGTGAAAAATATGGTCTTGGAGTGATGTGTGAGGCTGGTGTTGAAAGATATGACAAGCAAGTTATTAAAGTATATGTTCCAACGTCGTATTATCGGGAGGTTGCAGATAAATGTAAAGGGTTTTAATCACTATGGATGGCTCCCACACCGACACCAGACAACAGGAGCTACACTGTACTAACATTACCCAGCACAGGAACATATTCAGTCCTCTATGGTATTGGAGACCTTTGGAGGTGTTTATCTTCTTGAGCTTTACACAACACAAGAATTTTATTATACTAACTGTAGTCAGAATTAAACAAACAACTACAAAACTAAATATTGACAATGAGTTTTAATTCCTTACTTGTGAGGCAACAACCGGCAGCTGAAGCATGACAGCCTTGAGAGCATGGCAGTCTAACAGCAGCTGCTCACACCCCACGCCACTGATGGGACGGCACTTGTACACCTGCATATAATGTGCCAAACCTTTAGTAACAATTCTTTTTTATTAAATAGTCATGAAAGTAACCACTACTGATAGAAACTTGAATATTCATATACTGTACACACAACATTCTGAAAACTTACCTGCTGCACGAACTTGTTGAGGATCGCAGCCGCTAACTTGTCACAAAACCTGTAAGAGAGAACAATAGTTTACCTCACTACTGTAGGAGAAATGTACAATAATTATCAGAAGGAAACAATGATCACACGACGGAAAAGTTTATCATTGAGGTTGAAATGGATTACTAAAAACCAGGAGAGAAGATTAAACATTGAATGATATCTGTGGAACGTTCAGTAAGGGAAATAAAACTGTATTGCATTTTTTGGAGGGGTGGGGAAACATCCATCTTGTTATGTGGGTTATGGTGACTACTGTAAATACTAAGAAGATTAATTAAAACTACACACCTGGTGAAGTATTTACGAGACGTGTGAAGGTTGTGCCTGACTAGTGGTACAGAGGCAGTGATGTGTTGAGAGATGGCTGTCACGTACGGGCTCTGATCACCAGTCTGTTCCATCATCCAGTTCACTTTGGTCATGGAGGTGAGAGCTGGATCACACAGGCTCTCCACATGAGTCACAAGAAGAGCAATACACTGCAACATTCAGAGATTTTATCGTTGAGGTGTCTGTATGTCAACGGTGCAGTGGATCAACAATAAAATTTTTCTCATATGTCATTACCTAGACAACATTCTACAATGGATAATATTTATTTCCTCTGACTAAATACAATTCCGACCCATCTAGTACCTTCTATCCTCCTCCACTTGTGTGTTAGAGGGGCATGAGGTATAAAAATCTCAAAGGACAGGATAAAGATGAGTGAATGATCCTGAAACCCCACGTATAATAATCACTCTTGGATCACGTGACTCACACGGCTCATGACCGGGATGCTAAGGACCATTTGAAGGGAAGTACTGTCGAGAAAATCCACTGACCTGTGCTAAGACTGCATGGAAGAGATCTTGTTCCTGGGTAAGACTGATGGAAGGTACAAGTGATGGGTGACTTTTTTCTTTCAGTTTAGCTTCTAATCGCCCAGTCATCTCTTCGCAGTATTCGGCAGACACCAGCACTGAACACACTCGACGGACATCATCATCCCCTAACTTGGGATGGTCACCCTCACGCCACAGTGTCTGCACCTGGAAGCATCATTTGTCATCTAGAATCAAGCACACTTCCTAAAAATAACAACATTATATCACTTTCAAAAGGACACAGTTTAATAATATCCCTCAGTAGTTAAAATTAAATTACTGTACATTATCAGGTGTTTTTGTTAGTGATGGAACAAACCTTTAGAGAACCAGCATCCTACTAAAAGCTTCTTCATGCACACAGTGGCTTCCTGGATATCCAAACCCTTCACATCTACTCTAGTATGTCCTTCACCCCATCCTTTCATCTCCTTCTAAGTCTTCCTTTCTCCTTCCTACCATCACCACTTGATTATATTCTGTTTACCTTAGCCCCATCAGTGCTAAAGTTGAAACACCTAACATTACTGAAGTGTTGTGCCAATGTGAACAAAATCAAGGATGCTTCATTGCTAATCTGAATATTGCTTCCCTCATTTGAGTGTTATTGCATATTTAAATAAACACTGGAATTACTGTATGTTATTGATTAACAATATCCCATTAATGCTGGTTGAAAGGTTCTATTCTTCCACCAAGAGAGATCCCAAAGTAATGATAATATACCACTGTTTCTTTAACCCCTTGTGTATGTGGTTGCCTCTGAACTGAATAAAATATTAAGTGACATCCCTGTAGTGAAGGGATTAAATTGACAAACCCTTTAATCCAGCCCTTATAAAAGTAAGAGAGAAGCAAAGAGGTACACAAACATCAGCCATTACAACAGATTCTATGTGGGTTTACCTGTGCCAGAACGGCTGTCAGCTCCTTCATGTTAATGTCCTTAGGCATGGGGATATTGGCCCCAACTTTTGGAAGCGCTGCTCGCACCACCTTCGTACAAAACTCCCGCAGGTGTTTCTGAAGTACCTCCACCAATCCCCCAAGACCCTCTCCAGGTCCTAAGCGTAAGAACTCGACCAACACATTCTGTAATATAACGTACGGTATATTTTACATCATATTTCAAAAACATTAAATATAACATCTTAATAGTACCCAATGTGAAAGTCACTAAGTTGTAAAATGGATAACTAGACACAGTTAAATGATTTAAAAACCTGCCAATAAAAGTATTTACCTTGTATATAGTGAAGAGCTCTCCACAGTATGGAACAACATTAGACTCCTCAGCATCAATGTGTTCAAACTTATAATTTCTCATTTCACTGGCAAACTTCTCTATTTGATCATTAAGACGCCTGTTGAAGAACGAGAAAATACAATATCAGGACAAAAGAAAATAACCATGACACACTGATCTAAATGACCTGCACACTGCTGAATTACTGTAATTTTAAAATGTTGGCCAATATTAGTGTTCCTTTAATGTCAAAAATATGCCTGAACTTAATAATGTGTTTTGGCACTTGAGGTCATATAATGGATTTTGTTCAAATTTCTTACAAAGGTACTGCTTAACATGCTGATTAAGGATCTGGGTTCACAATTTAAAAATTCGAGTAATGAGTGTTAATTAATGACCTGTGAAATAATTAAAGACATTCAGAATATTAAAAAAAAAAGTCAATTATGCTGTGACGGACTGTACATTCATCCTGTACATTTTAATTACCCACTTCCTAAACCTTATTTTCCATTTACTCTAAGACAAGTCCTTCCCTTTCTCTAATGACAGTTCAACTAAGTTCTTTAACATAAATTTTTATCCATAATTCGTCCGACTTTCTCTAAAATTACTCCTCTCATCCTTAGTTTACTCTCACAAAAGAAAGTCTTACTTGTCAACATTATCTATGTAGACCCTGAGGTATGGCTGGAAGCATCGGCAGACAGCTCCATGGAAGGGGGACACAATTGTCTCTCCTGGAGCTTCACTCTCCACAAATGGGTTCGTATTGATTGGATTGGCCGACTGTTCATTTTTGTGAGACTGTTCATCCTGAAAATATTTAATAATTTAATGATGGAAGTACCTACACATGCACTAATGGATGAACAGAAAGATGGAAGGCTGGGCAGGTGAATATCCATAAGCCTCTGTATGGCACATAATAATATTTTCCTTATAATATACAACACGAACGCACATGCTATCACCTACATCAATATCTTACCTCCAGGAAGGGGTTAGTTGATATGGAGGAGCGAGGAGTTCGGTCATATATCTGGAACCCTGCATATTTTCTCACCAAGAGGCTCTCCAACTCGGACATCACCTGTACAATAGAAAACAGACACAGTTATACCTGAACACCTTATCAGATATACAGAATCACACCCTATACATTCACTAGACATCTAAGAGAGCAGCTGGCCAGTAAGATCTTCATACGAGCTACTGGTTATAAAAACATACAAGAAAACAGACTTGAATTTGATCATGTGGTCATGATTCTTGTACACAATGCATCCCTTGATGGTTATATGAAGCATAACAAATTTAATCCCACTGTTAACTCTTATCAGATTCCTGTTCCTGGATAGAGTCAATACTGTATACTAACAACTTAATCGTTCAGTAAACATAAAATGAACAACAGACAACTGCATGAATTCAATCAGCCTTATGAATTGTTACAAGTATTAACCCTTAAACAGTGACCATCATCGGTGAAAGATAGTTGTAAGGACGGCAGCCATCATTAGTGGAAGTTTCATGTTCCTTGCTGTCACTTAAGGGTTAAAAATTACTGTTCAGAATTAAACCATAAACTATCAGTTCCAACACACAAAAATACCCACCTTGTGAGCATGAAGGAGAGTTCCAACATCAATGTCTTGGGTTCTCAGCTCCATGGCCCGAGATAACTGGGATCTGGTCACCTCACAGAAGGAAAGTGCTAAACGTGCTGGCACCTAAAACAGGACACACACATATACTGTATAGTGTGTCTCAACAAAATTAATACACACTACCTTACTTATTTTTGTGAAGATTATATTAATGATTATATTACAAGAGAAACATTACCTTCATTTGTGGGAGTCATTTATTTCTGAGATTAAGATGAACAGATAAACACAAATACAGTATTCAAATCCACGTGACCAAAGACGTATTGTATATATTTCATACCTGCCAAGATGGAGGAAACATCGCTGCTAAAGTTTTCTCAAATTCTACAGCAGTTTTCAGGAACCATTTACGTCTCAAGTCCACTTTGGTGAGCCAGGCGTCACTCTCACCACCGGCAAACAGCACCTCATACTCAGCCAACTGTGTCTTCACTACATCCTCTATGATGGTTCGCCTGGAAGTGATTAAATTTATAAAGGCATCGGTCATTTATACTTGCATTTGGATGGGCGTGTATATAGACTATGAAGTTATACAGTTTAGCATAAATATGGACAAGGTACTGATGTAGGTATACAGCGTACATTGACCATGGGAGTACAATACAGTATATAGTTTCCTGCGTGCCGAGACAGTGCCACGACAACTTACTTGACTTTAGGGTCCAACTCGGAGACGACTAGACAAGCTTCCGCAAGCTCTTTGGTGGGAGCAAAACGCCTGGCATTGGGGCCGTGAAAGGCTTGGTGAAAATCGTCCAAAATTTGTTTCTCCAGTTCACTCCTTATCTGTTCAATCTGTGAAGAAGTAATATTTTGTACAGGAGAGACAAATCATTCAGCTAGAAACATTGAACAATATGACGTTCTTCCCTTATATTTTCCCAAGTCTGCCTAATTGACTGAATGACTAACTGTTTATCTACAAGACTGACTGAATGATTATGTCAGACTGATTAACTGTTTTACTGCCTATCTAATTGACAGACAGATAACCTTCTACACTCAGACAATTATTTTATTCGGGATATATCTTCCCTTAAATAGAAAATGCTTTCTCTTAATAGGTTTATGCTTAAGACACCATTTTCTAAGTGATACATTAGCTGAAAAAATGAAGAGACAGATAGCAAGCTACAACACCCACCTGGCAAGCTACAAACACCCACCTGGTGAGCTACAAACCCACCTGGCAAGCTACAAACACCCACCTGGCGAGCTACAAACATCCACCTGGCAAGCTACAAACATCCACCTGGCGAGCTACAAACACCCACCTGGCGATTTAAGTCAGCAACCTGGGGAATGTGCTTGTATCGGTTGAGATGGTCCAGCACGTTCATCACCCCCTGGAGCAATGTGGCAATCTCCCCATACTCTCGACGGACCTTTAGAGCCCTGTAAGTGGGATTAAATATCACTGAATCTCACGAACCTAAGACTCCTCCACTTAACATTAGGTTATTTAATCATCAGGTGAGATAAGCAAGGAGTTCCTCTTGTTCTGTTCTTCATATCGTCTTATTAAAATGATCTCCTATTATTACTGCTGTCTGATAAAGTCAAGCACATAATCCAAACAGTGTCTCATTTTCTCATCAATTCTGTTTGACAATAATTAGGGTATAAGATTTGGGAAGAACATATAATGCAAGGAGGTACAGGTCTTACAAGGCTTGGGAACTCAAGTCTGAAAAAGGTGGGATTTATTTACACTAAAATCCTCAAGGAAGTTTTTAAGGATTTGCCCAATACTGTACATGAAAACTCACATCATCTCTGGGGATGTTGGATAAGGAATGTTCCTTTTACAGTCTACATGAGTCTTAAAAGCAATGAAAGATTTCCATACATTTATCCAGTGAAGAAAATTCACCAAAGAAACATTGGTGACTGAAAGTTTAACTTATCCAACTTCCCAACTGACATAGCCTTCAATACTGCATAAAATAAGTTTGAATTCCCTATGCTACTTCAACTAAGAATTCTTGAACACCTTGCTCTCCACATATTTACATACACCGCTACTTTCTATATGATTATGATGACAATACTACTCACTGTAACTTCTGGACGCCCTCCACTAACATCTGCAGGTGGTTCAGTGTGGTGATAGAAGTAGTGAGGTTCCTCTTGGCTGTGTCCAGCTGCTTGATGTCTCGGGTGATCTCCTTCACTCGCTGCTCTGACTCACCCGCCTTCTCCTGCAACACCAAGTCTTAGTAAACATATTGATACAATGGTAACCATTATATAAAAGACCCTAAGACTCACACACTACACTAATAGCCAATCACATCCAACCACATCAGTTAAAAGTGACATATACTGTACAGTAAAATCTTCATCAAGAAAGCATATTTTGGATTATGATCAATTGTTTACACAACACTGTTTATCAAGGATGTAACCACTGTGTAAACTTAGGTCCAATTATATTGACAAACAAACTGTATATACTATATTGTCGTCCATACCTTGATGTCTTGAAAGCGTAAAAAAAGCTCAGTGATGGCTTCCTGGGCATTGAGTAACGACGTTCGTCCATCCTGAAATACAGAGAATGTGAAGAGTCTACAGCACCATCACCTTATTCCTGCTAAACCTGAATGCTTCTGTTTTCTCCTACTGTACTAACTAGTGTGCATATTCCAGTGACCCAAAATGAATCCGAGTGTTAGTGATATATTCGTGAAATCACCAAGAGTCACACCACGGTACATACTTACGCTTTATACTCTACATTAAGAGGTTTAAAGTGGATGGAGTGATCCCCTATACGTAAACCATGACCACCACATAATATTTTTTAAATTTTGTGTTGGCACAATAATCTAACAAATATTGTGCCATTTCTGGGGTCAATATTCATTCTATTAGCATCTACCAAGGTTAGTAAGAGTACAGAGCAGTGTTCTTACATTTTAGTACTGTACACCTTCCAATAGTTATCTAACAAATGGAGTCAAATTCTTCACATTGGTGTAACCATTCCCTAAGTTCTGACTATTTCACTTACAGTTTTTCTTGACCAAGCAGCTATTACTGAAGGTTTACTATAATAACAGTGTAAATGTATGTGTAAGATAACTCAGCCGGAGTAGGACCCATTTTTAGTCATATATGGTGTAAGGTTGTAGTTAACTTGAATAAAAGGAACAACACTTTCTTTCAAAATATGTCTTAGGTACCCACTATTGTATGGAAACTTTTTATTTTCTCCAACAGCCCAGTCTTACTCTATGATTATTGTCTTATTAAAATACTCACTTGATCAACATTAGTGAGAGACCTAACAACTGTCCTGATATGATCGTCAGTGGATGTAATTTTCAGTCTCATCTCCTCCAATACATCGTCAATATGATGTAGAGATTGTTCAGCTGGGAACCGTGTGTTGATGTACTCCACAGTATTAAAGTCTGGTGCATCAAACGGGTCATCACTGGGCAAAATCTGGAAACATAAGTATATAATATAATGTGGTCTACAGCTTGTATAATGTAGTTATCATTAAAATATATTCATTCTTACAAATACTCAAATGGGATTTTTTGAGTTAAGAATTTTTATTCTATAGAGGAATTTTCTGAAGTTATTGGTTAACCTGCAATACTGTCATTAAGTATTACACATATTGTTTTTCATTACAAGTGTATTTTCTTCAATAATAAATACAATTATATACATGTCAAAATATCGTTTAAAACCGTATGCAGTTGAACATAAACTTTATCTACACTACCGCCGGTAATAACAGATCGCGGCTAAACCTTACCTCTTGTATAGCTTGGACTACTTCTGGTGGGAAATCCAGGTTTAGCTTCTCCACTTCTGTGATGTTGTCAGCCTCCATCAGCCCGCCCGCCACACCTCTCAACTTCTCCGTCTATCAACGATTCTCTTCTTATTGCAATGTCAACTTGGAGTGTTTCTCCCTTGGTATCTTCTCAAACTAGGCTTCTGTTTATTTTCTTCTAATTTATCGATCTATTCGTCCTGTTTCGTTTTTCTTCCCCCTCTTTTTCTCAGCACTTGCTGTTGTTGTTGACACGACGGCAAAACTACCGAAGTTAAATACGGACCACGAACAGCTTTGCTTAAACCATTATTATTCTTTTTTAGTGATAGACAATCTTAATTTAGTCAATTTATAATTAATAATATTCTATTATATCTATCTATATAAAGATATACTTGGTTATCTTGGTTTGTATGAGCTGACTGTAAACTAAATAGGATTCTCGTTTTTGTTCGTGGTCTTATTTTAACGTTAAGCATTTTGTAGTGGCCCTGTGTTTACCTGAACATTCGTATGTACAAGAACCATAAATATAATTTCAAGTTCACAACAAATATATATTAATCCAATAATTTATTAGATTTATACAACATATTTATATGTGATAAAATGGATTAATTGAAATATATTAGTTATAAAATACACTCCATTGCAAACGCGTGACACTAGAGAGAGGGAAGAGGGAGGGAGTAGTTGAGTGTGATCCTCATGGCAGGTTTTCTTCTCTCCTGAAGTAACGCTGCATAGCCAAGTACCGGTAACAACGAACAAACCAACTTCCAGAACGTCTAATAAACTCATAAGTGGTGAAATGATGAATAAGATCTTGATGAGACAAGTGAGTGTTCAATTGACCATGTACAATACTTTGACCAACATTTTCCCTTCATATTAATATTAAAGGATGACCCCCACCCCCTTACTCTCCCAACCTATAACTCTCCGTAAATATATGTTATACAGTACAGACAGTCGGAGTACAGTATGTATAGATAGTATTGTGTAAGCTCGAGAAACCCGTCAAGTACTAATGCGAATGAAGCATTTATTAGGGATAGCCTCGTGTATAAGTTTACACCCGCTACATAATTTTCATTGTAGCCAAATAACCTATCCTTCACACCTACCATAATACTTACTTATTTTCTCTATTACACCTGTTGGCAAGTACTGGGTATCATGTAGGGGCTATCTGTTAAGCATTGGACATAACTAAGTATATTTTCCATAGTAACAGCACTTCATTTTTACAATTCAACCCACGAGTTCAATCAATCATATAACAGATTCAAGTAATTATTATCTTCACAAACAGCGTCAGATCAGGCCAGTCAGAAGTACAGTAGCAGTCAGTAAGTCAGTCAATCAATCAGTCAGTCAGTCCTAACTTGGAGTGCTGCTCTCATATCTGGGGTGGCTCGCCTCCTTTAGTCGACAACCTCTCTTCCCTTTCTCTTCGCCACAATGTTGCTTCACTCTCTCTCTTTTACAGGTACTTTAACGGGCAATGTTCAGTGGATTTGGCATCCTGTGTACCGCCGGCAAGGCCGTGGGTTCGTAACACACGTCTTGCCCGCGGTGCCCACCGTTTCTCTGTGGATGTCGGTCACACTAGAATAACCCGTTATAGTACCTCCTTCTTTCCTCACACAGCCAAACTGTGGAATGCTCTGCATTCTTCCGTGTTTCCATGCTCTTACAATCTGTCTCACTTTAAAAACTGGTTTTCCGGCATCTTCGTGGTGTAGATTAATACAGTATAACCTTTTTTTTCTATATTTACAATTTCTTTCCGTTCTTTTTTTTTCGCCCCCCCAGGCTCCGTTGTGGGTCGTTTGACCTGTGCCCGGGTGGACTTGTAGCGTACTGTATGAGGCCAGTTGTCAATTATCTGTAGTTGTCTATTTTCTCTTTGTATGGGCACACAAACGTACGTACATGTAGATATCTCACACTCAGGAATGAGGTAGAATAGAAACTCACAATGCGTTTTCTGTATATATATATTGTTGTACAGTGCAGTGCTAAGGAGTTACTAGGTGAGGAGTAGCTTGCTCAGAGGTCCTGTAGGGCGAGGAGGTTTCTGAGGAAGCTGGGTGGTGAGGCGCTGGAGAGAGATGTTGCTGGTCCGGTAGCCGAGTGTAGAATGACCTCCCCGAATGAATGAATGAATAAAAGCTAGTGACAGGGGGGAAAGAGGTTCAGGGGAAGGATACAGGGAGGATTGAAGTGAATTTTAGAAGGAGAGAATAGGTGCAGTGGCTAAACACCGCTTGCGTGAGGGGGCAGGCAATGTGCCCTGTAGGTGTAACACTCACATTCAGGACGAGGCAGAGGGAGGGCGGGAGCAGGATCGGGTAGGCAAAGGTCCAACGCGGGTGCTCTGGTTGTCGTCTTAGCTCAGGCAGTGTTGGCAAAGCGGAGGAAGAACCGCCCCGCCACGGCGGTGGCGCAAGCAGAGAAGCGCAGGTGGACGGACGCACAGGCCACACACGGTCAAAGTAACAATGAAGGTGAAAATGGAAATGTAGCTAGTCGTAGGGTTGTTTGGAGAAAGATGAAGGTAAAGTCTTTGAGCTATGTCAAAGAGGAACGGAGCGAGTTGGAGGAAGAGTTTTAAATCTTTGAACTTGAAATGTGAAAGTGTTCGTAGTAAGGAAGGATGAACGTATCGTAGGAGAGTTTTTAGTAATAGCAGGAGACAGATTTGAGCTTTTCTCAAATTATGAACGGAGATGAGGATGAGATATAGGTTGATTGGTTTCAATGTTGAGTTAGGTCGATTTTATTGAGAGTGGATGTCACAGAGGTCGGGTATGTTTGATTTGGTTCTAGAGAGTTGTAGTATTTATGTAAGGCTTTGTCTGGGGGGGGGGTGTTGTGTTTGGGGTTGGTTGTGGAGGTGGTATGTTGATTTGTGCTGAAATTAGGATTGCTTAGAGGGTTGTTGTGTGAGTCAATATAGTGGGGAGGAAGGAGGATATTAGTAAGGTCAGGTATGGTGAGTTGTTGGGAGGAATTTGGGTTTTGGGGAGAGAGGGGCTTTGGAGGTAGTTAGGTTGATTTATGGTGTAGTAGGATTTCTTAGGGGTGATTTGATTTGTGTGGTTAATGAATAGTTGTATTGAGTTAAATGTACATTTTTTAAAGGGGGGTCGAAGGGGGTTGTTAGAAAGGTCGGGTATATTAAGTTTTTGTTTTGGGAGGATTGTAGGTTTTGATTAGTGGTTGGATAAGTTTAGTTTTTTTTTTTTGCCAGCCGGGCCCGTATTTATGTGATTTAGAAACCTCACGATTTGAGGCGCTCGTAGCGCAAGAGCCAATCACGGGAGAGAAAGCATAAGGTGTGAAACTCTCTGATCCTGAGCTGGAAGTTGAAGGTCGAGACTAGGTCGGCGATCGTACCCCTACGTCCACTGCATAGACCTAGTCTCTCGGCGTAGCTGGCTGTACGCTGATTGGCTGGCAGGCGCACGGCCGGAGCTCAGTTGGGAGTTGTAGGGGAGAGGAGCCACTACAGGCTAATTCCCGTAAAGAAAAAAAAAGTCTAGCAGTGTGAATATTTCCACAGAATCAAAGAACACTATCCTTACAACCAAATTCCATAAATATAAATAATAAACAAATAAATAATCTCTTACTTATTTAGTATTTATAACATAAATAAATGCATTTACTTTATTTATTGCAATGGTAAAAAAATATAACAGAACAATCGGTAAGTAATCGGTTTTGTATCAGCAAGAACTAGGTACTGTATCTTGCTGATAAACAGTGATATCAGGGGAAAAAGTGCTGAATGATATGCTTGACTTTACGGAATGTTATTGGTTTGGTGGTTGAAGTTAGACTAGGGTTAGCTAGGTTAGTTTATGTTAGGTCAGGATAAATTATGTTTAAGGTTAGGATAAGTTAGATTAGGAAAGGTTAGGTTAAGTTAGTTTTGCGATAAAGTGACTAACAATTAACGGAAGTACAAGTTAATATTTCCGTTAAAGTCTTCAAAAAATAATAATTATAAATAAATTAATGTAATATACTAGTAAATGTGTGTAATTCTGTATATAAATTCGTTAAATTCCACCTAAGATTATTTTTTTTTCGTTAGGTTTTGCCTCAAAATATTACATCCACTTTGAAGTGTTTTTGATGAAGATAATGTCGCGATACTGAATAAAAAAAATATTTATCATTTAATATATCTGATCTTAGTTTTTTTTCCATTACACGCAAGATATTCAAGGTATCCGTAAATTGTTTGACCCATTTTAAAGCTCTAATTAAAATCCGGAAACGCCTCAGTGGCCATGATGGATCACGTCATCACGCATCAAATTTGTTTTCTTTTGTAGACGGTGTTAGGCCCAGACTCCCAGAGGTCTCCTAATTTTTCTGCAGAATTTTGGATCTACGGACACCACTGCTCCATTCGATTGACTGCGGACCTACAAAATGCCTGAATATGCTGCCTATGGATGCACATCATGACAACATAAAATAAGAGAGAAAGGAGTAACTTTCCATGGTTAAGATGATTTGAGCTGTTAAACTGTTTCCTATGTGTGAAGAAGTGTTTCCTTATATTCGTCCTGAGTTAGTTTATTCCAAATGAAGTTCAAGATGAGATTTATGTCAGCTAATTCATGCCTAGTACTTGCCAATAGTGCGAAAGAGCGACCGCCCAAGCGGCTGAAGAGCCGAGATCAGTGGCGAAGAGGATAAAAGTACAAAATAAAGTAAAAGGTAATACAGTTTGAAACAATCAGATTTACAAAAACAAAAATAAAACAGGATGGAAATTGAGCATATGAATATTCCTTGAAAATTCGTGTAAATTGACCATTATTAGTTATATTTCCTGTTGAAATCACTCTTATGGCGTAAGAGCAACGTTAGGAACACCCGCTTATTTCACCTGATGATTAAACACCCTAATGCTAACGTAACTGAACTCAATCTAAAATGACCTAAACTACCTTAATTGAACATAATCTAACCAAACCTGACCTACTAATATAACCTAACCTAAGCATTAGCGTGTTTAATCATAGGTGAAATAAGCTGGGTTTCCTATTCGTCATGATATCCACTAAAGCCAAACTTTGGAAGGTGTGCAGGTAATGAGCTTGTTTGCCTGTTTCCATTTTTTTTGAGGGCAGGACATTGTTTGGGTTGTCTCCTGTTGTATACTAGTGACGTCGCACGAGACATCACGAGATGCTACCCTTGAAAGCATCCGTTGAAAACACAAGAACATCGAAAATCTGTAACGGTGAGGTGTGTAATAATTTTACTGAGGCAGAAATTTACGTCTTTTCAACTAACTGTTCTCGTGTGACTGTGTGATGCAATTATCTGAGTCATTTGCACCGATGAACACCTCCCTCCCCCTCACCCCTCCGCCACCCTGCACGACCAGTCTCGTCCTCGCCTCAGGCTGGGGGGTCAAGGGGGGTTTTGGCCATCTTGGGAGGCCGGGTGACGGGCCTCACCCAGGCTCACCGAGTTACCGTCTGGATTTTCAGCAACTCAGTGTGCATTGATGATGGCGACAGTGAGGACGTACGCAAGTTTCGGTGCGAGGATTTCAAATAATATTACGTGGAAAAACATAAAAGGAGAACGAGTAAGTGTTTAATGTATTACTTGGTACTGCTGAATGTATTAATTGTAGTTTTATCAACAACTCGTGCGATAAAACAATGAGTTTGGGTAATAAAAGCGCGCGCTTTGGAATCAGCTGAGCTGAGAACTGAAATCGATGCCGGTAATGTTTAAAACTCATTTTTAATGTTAGTAAACAATACTATCTGATTTATTTTCCTTAGACATAGTCAA